ACCGGGTAGCTCTGGCTCTAGGGGGAAATCCCGGAGGCCTCCTAAAGGAGGGATTCTCCCAAGTGGACCAACTCTGCGCCCTCCCTCAACACGCCAACTTCCGACCTTCACAAACATGCGCCTCCATCTCTAATCCACAGATGCGGAACCCAGGGAGCATCTCCATGCGCAGCGCTTTGCTCCGCAAGCGCTTACAGCCGCACCACTCCCTGGGTTTCCTCCAAGTCTTCCCCAAAATTCTCCCCAGCTGCGCACTTTCCTTCCAGGGTGCGGATGCATATCTGCCCAGGAAACCCCTGAAGAAAAGGAGGAAGTACACCCCTACCCTCTTTCGGACCAACTTCTTTCCGCCTGGGTCTCTGGAAGTGTGGGCTCGAGAGCTGGGGAACCAAATCCGAGAGAGCTCGCCCGGTTGAGGAACCAAATAGAAGCCCCCTCACCCGCCCACCCCCAACCCCAGTTTCCCTTCACACAGCGTGGCCCTCCTGATGGCTCTCCGGGGGCCAGCGCAGGCATCCTGTCCCTGCTGGGGAGCGGAGCGGCCTCGTCACCAGTACCTATCGGAGAGATCGGCGCTGCTCCATTTCTGATTCCCCAAGTTGCAAGCAAGCCACCTCTTATTATGCCTGGTCACCGCCACCCTCATGCGTGCTACCACAGTGAGAGCTCCACAATGTTTCTGGAATGGAGAGTCTCGGTCTCCATTCCCTGAGCCACCCTGCCCTCAAGTTGCCATCAATGGTCCCTCCTTCACTAGAGGGAAATCTGGGTAACTTCCGCCCCAGTGACCCTGCCTACCTTGAACAAATGCCAGAGGGTCGCTATTCTACACACACTCCACTTTGTTACCATGTGAAGAAAACCCACCATCTCACTCCCACCCCCATTTGCATGGAAGCCAGGCCAAGTGCCATCAGAATTCCCGGTGGATGAGAAAACACCATTTACCTCTGTCCTGCACCACCAATGACCCCATTCGCCCTCAGGTCTCAGCTCCAGAGGCTCCAGTTGGACAGAGGATGGGGCCTGGGGAGGTGGGCAGAGGCGCTGGGATTCGGGGCACAGGCCACATGGCTACGGCCAGGGCTGGGGAGAGAAAGGTGAGGGCTGCACTGGAGCTAGGGACAGCCCTGCACAGACCCAGGGAGGAGGAATCCTGGGACAGGGATCAAGGGGAGGGAGGGCATCAGCCAGGTCCAGGCTTGGATGGCTCTCATCACACACACACACACACACACACAGGCACAGGAAGCTTGAACTCCACGGCCCAATGCCCGGTGGCCCAGTTCAAACATGCACCTTTTGTGCTGGGAACTCTCCATTTCTACCTCAGGTAGGCTCCGCGAGGGGCCCACTGAGCACCATCTCACCAGACCACTCACTGCATCGGCAGCCACCAGGTTCGGAGTAAAGGGGGTTCCTGCTGAGATCCCAGCACAACCGGCAGTGGGGGCAAGGAGGTGTGCATTTCCACAGAGAATCCAGGACGGCAATGCTGAAAAAGCCTGCAACTTCAGGCTCAGGGGAAGTTTCTTGTTGCTTCTTCGAGATGATCCATCCAGGGGTGGGTCCCAAATGGATTTGAGACCGGCTGCCAAACTTCTCTCCCATAAGGCTGTGTAGGTCAGGGTTCCAAACGGTAGAAGTCTCCCGTTTTGGAGAGAGGTAGTGCCAGCCATTTTTCCTCCTCTGCGTTCTGGGGAATTATCCCTCTCGTTTTTATTTGTCTCCATGAGCACCTTAGGAGGGTTGGAGTGGGGGGATTCCACTGGCCATTCCAGGGTTGTGTGTAGGTGGCAAATGTCAGGTTCTGAACCCAGACCTTCCCTTCAGGGGACAGCAAGTGAGGACAGCCTTCTCACTGGAGGGCAGAGGGGTGGCCCAGGTCTGAGTTTGTGAAGGAGGGAGGGGGGAGTTGGCAAACCCTCCCATCCCCTCCTTTCTCCCTTCCCCAGAGCAGAGGCTCAAGCCCTACTGGTTACACTGGGAGTTACGAGCCCCACATTTTAGGCCCAGCTCTACCACCAACTAGCTGTGTAACCTCAGACAAGTTGCTTCCTCTCTCTGGGCTTCATTTTCCCAAGCCATAAAATGGAGGTTAATATTCAAGCATTTCCAGTACGCAGTCCACCACATGGCCTGGCAGTGCTGGGAATCTAACATAAAGGCCACCCCTTGGTCAGCACTACTTGCTCTCCCATTCAACTCCCAAACGGGCTCTCTAAGGTGGGTATAAGAAGCCTGAGTTTCCAAGAGCTTAATTAAGTTCCCCAGAGCCCCAGCACTACTGGAAAGTTCCGAAGCCTTTTCCACTCTGACCCATGTTCTGCCCCACGGAGACCCGAGTTCCTTGCCCTGGGCTCCAGAGTTCTGGAACCAAATCCGAGGCAGCCATGTCAGCCACTGGAGCCTCAGAATCCTGTCAAAAATTGTATGTGCCCTGCCTTGGTGTGGGGAAGCTGGGAGAACTGTAAGATCGTGAGGGGAAATTGTGTGGAGCTCCTTGGATGGAAGAAATGATGATTTTGCACGTTTGGGCTACTGGAAAAGTAAAGATACTGTGCCTGTTGGGATGGGAGTGGAGGGGCTTGCATTTCAGCTGGAGAGACAGGAAAACCACCAAGCAGGGCAGCGAAGGGTTGGGATATAGGGAAGGAGGGTGCAGCGGGACAGGGAAAGTTTCTTGGGGAGATGACCCTTCCCTCCTCCTGCACCTCAGACCTCTCCTCTGAAACAGACACCCTGCTCCCACCCTGCTCTCCAAGATGTTATATCTCACCTCTCGCTCCTACCCTGACAATGTGGGGTCCAGAGAACAGACCCCAGCTTCCCGGCTTGGGCACTCCAGTGCCCAGCCTGGGACCTGCCCAGGCAGAGTAGGGGCTCAGCAAACATTTGGGGAATTACTGGATCAAAGGAAGCCCCCCCCCCAGTCCCCCTGCTTTCCTCCCCCTAAGGAAGAGGTGTGTTTGGAGTAGGGGCCCAGCAGGATATGCACATTCCTGGCAAGAAAGGACCTACCTGCCAGCAGCCAGAAAGGAAGTTCCTGGCCAAAGACGGAAAGAAAGGGGGTGGGGTGAGGGTGTCCAGGTGTGAGAAGGGCACCTACAGAGAAAGCGACAGAGCAAGTCCCTTTGCAAGCTGGGCCCAGCCTGCCCTGCCCCCAGCATTCCCCAGCATGGGTGTCAGGTCTTTCTCTCCCCAGGGCTCAAGGGTTCCTCAACTCCATAATTCCTGGGAAGCCTGCCCAGGACCAGGAGAAGGATAGAAAACCCCACCCAGGAGCCCAGAGCTCAGTGCCAGGCGAGAAGGTGCCTGTGGTCTCCCCCAACTTCGTGCCAAGCCTAGGGCCAGGGGAGGTAGTGTTTGGAGGGTCCAGGAGGAGAGATTCAGATCTTGGGTGTGTGTCGGGGGAGGCGGCACCCACAGCGCCACTTCCTCCCCATTCCACCTTGCCCCACTGACAAGAGTGGGAGCAACACCAGACAGGGAGCCTCCCAAGGCACAGCCCTGCTTTTGAGAGGCTCAGATCTAAGGAAGCCTGAGCGAGCGAGCCCTCCAGGCGCCCGCAGCACAGTCCCGGGGCCCTCCCTCCAGCCTGCCAGGTGACAAAGAGCCCCAGGACCAGGGCAAGAAAAAGTTTCTCAAGTTAAAAAACAAAACAAAATAAGCCTGCAGACTTCCCCTTCTGTGCAGCGGGTTTTCTGCCGGGTTGGGCGGGGGCTGTCTGAGAGTGGCTCCCCTTCAGGCAGCCAAAGCCCCGCCAGCCCGCCCTACAGCCCCTGCACCCACCCGCTTGCAATGCCCAGCTTCCATAGGGTTCCGTCCGAGTTCTCCCAGGAAAGTGAGCTTCTAGGTTCAAATTCTCGGTGGCCTCCATTACCCACTGTGTTCCGAGGTGGGACTCGTCAGACCCTCCCACAGCTACAGGCTGTGTAGGATGCCGCTGCTCTTTCTTTCTGCGTGGGAGAAGGGGGCACTCGGGCCAGCCTCGGGCTCCAACCCCAGCTGCCCCTCAAGCTGCGCTGCCATGGCCCTCAATCCCGGAGCCCATACAGTTCGCTCTGGGATAATCCAGGCGGGTGCTTTAAAGCCGAGGATGAAGATGCTTAAATCGAAGTAAAAACCCGCATTGGCCAAAATGCTCCTGGGCTTTCTCAGGAACCCCCGGGGATGACAGCTTCAGACTCGGGTTTGCTCCTTGGGGCCCCCCACCTCCAATCCTGCTCCAGGCTCCGCGGTCACCCTCAGAGAGACCTGGCGCTGGCCGGGGTGCGAGACGCGCGGTGATTTCCAGACGCCTTAAACCCCAGGCGACGAGTGCGCTAGGAAATCGGCCAGGCGGGGCTTGGCAAGAGAGGCCGGGGGTGCAAAGGGAGGAGCCGGGTGCTCTATGGGCTCAGGGTGTCCGTGGGCCTATATCCTTTTTCCCCAACCTAGAAAGTCCGGGTCCGGGTGGGATGCAGATGCGTTCACGAGGTCGCCCCAGTTGGAGAGAAGGAATCCGCAGCCGTTAGGGCCTCTGCCTCAGAATCCGCGTCCCGCGAAATCACACGGTCCTTTGCCGGGGAGGCCGGGAACCCAGGTCGCTCAGGGCGCCCCGCATCCTAGCGCCAGGGGCTCTGCCCCGGCTCAGCCCAAGTTAGTTTTGGCATTAACGGGGAGCGCGGGGCTGGAGGGCGGCCGGGGTGACCGTCAGTCAAGGAGAGGTGTCTGCGGGGGGGGCTGTCCAGCGCAGACACTCGAGTCCTGATCTGAGGGGGAGTCCCGCTTGGTCACTCCAGGACACTCTTTCCAAGTGGCCTCCGAACCCTGCTGCCGCCCTCTCTTTCCCCTACTTGGTGAGGCGGGGGCTCTCCCCAAAAGGGGTGAAGAAAGGTATCGCCAGGTCAGTCCCCTACCCTCCAGCACCGGCGCACAAAACCACAAGAGGCCGTTTCCAGACGCTCTCAAGTCCCCAAGAAGTTTTCCGCTCTATTTCCGAGCTGACCGAGGGATGGGGGAAAGGGGCTGACTGGCCCCGCAACTTCTGAGGTGTGACCCAAGCAAAAAGAGCCCCCTCCACACCCGAGGCGACGCAGTGGGTGGGATCGCCGTCCCCCCCATCGCCCCCCATCTGCCTCCGGCGCGTCTTGGGGAGTCCTGGACAGACTGGGGTTGGAAGAGCTCACTTCACCACGTCCCTCCCCAGCTCAGGAAAGGCCGGGCCGGGAAGTATTCTTTGTCTGACTCGGGGCGGGGGGTGGGGGGGGTCGCACCCCCTTACACCCCATTCCCAGCGGCCAGGCCGGGAGGGGGCGGGGCCCAGATTCTTGGGGAAGGGCGGGCCTCAGGAGCCTTTCCAGCCCCCCCACCCGGGCCGACCTCCGGCTGTCTGCCCCCCCTCCCGCCGCCGCGCCGTAGCCCCCACCTGTTCCCAAGGCAGCTCTGGGCCGCGGGGGCCCCGGCCGGGGGCGGGGTGTCGCGGCTGCGCGGGGTCAGTGCGCCGCAGCCGGCTCTGGCTGGAACAAAGTGCGCCGGCCTGGGCCCGGCTCCTCCCGGCGCCCGGCGCGTCTCCGGCGGGCAGTTTGCAAACACAAAGTGAGCCAGTGAGAAGGCGAGAGAGTGCGCGAGCCGGGGAGTTGCGCCGGCCCAGCCCCCACCCGCGTCCCCGGGCTTGGCCCGCCACCTACCTGTCCGGCCCGGCCGCTCCGTGCGGGCTCCGGCCCGTCAGCCCGCGCGGGGCATGGGGCTCGCTCGGGGCGC